TCAACTATAGGGGCAAGGCCACGCACCTTTGGTGTCTCGTTTTTCTTGTGTTACTAAGCCTTGGTCTCTTTGGAGCTGCTTTTACTTGTTCTTTTCAGAACTACTTTCTCACTATATCTTGGGACTCTCCACCCATTCTACTTAGTGTACGTTATTTTATTAACTTGGGTGTAGTCATGGTGTTGTTTATTATCACCAGCACACGGACCAGCTACAATTTGCAGCAAAGAGGCTGAAAGAGCTCTGAGGTAGAGGTCCATACAAGAAGTTAACAGGTAGAGAAGGTCTCGCTATTGGTGAATGGCTCCTAAAGAACAGATGAATAGCTGAACACTAAATACATGGTCTTATTGTCATAGCAACGCTCTAACAGTTTCCATGGTTTTTATGTCAATTTTTAATGACCGCAAATAATTGCAGCCGCGAATATATCCTGACATACATGTACGGTAGTTAAATTACCAAAAATGAAGCAAATGAGCCGTTAATTTTGTAATTATAAAAAGGTGTGGCCATTGGGCATGGTCACTACTCTACTTGGTACAGGCATAGATATTAGAGTAAATGAAAGGGATAGGAAACTTCCGTTCACGGCAGGAAATGCTAGTTACCCATACCATGATAATTCTCTATTTATAGGAATTTTTTCAATTTTACAATAGGATTTATTAAGAAAATTACCAAACATTATGGTATACTACAACTTCATAATGGTTTTTCTTTATGTAACATACATTAAAGTATGTGTGTGCCCTCAAGTGGTGCCCTCAAGTGTACATCAAGCTTTGCTTTCATATCACATTTAAATGTGCCAATCATTGAACTGTAGAGAAAAAGGTACAAAACGAAGGTCTTTGCAAAAACTTTGAATTGATTATAAATTAGTCACCAAATCTGTCATCGGAGTCATTTATGTTGCGTGCCCTCCATAATAATGTATAGAATAGTTGGTAATAGTTAATTCTGGTATTACTTCTTTTGTATTCTAAAACCACAATATTGAAGGTATCAGGTCACTAAATCAAACTTTACCCATAGTTATGAATATTATTTTACTTCAAAAATTAGACAGACTGTAAGGGAGGTATCTGTAATGCCTTTAATTATCATTGCAGAGGATGAACACAAGTCGCTTTAGAGTTATGAGTTGAAATAGGACGCCGAACAGTGAAGGGAAAGGCCCGGGAAGGGTAACTTGCCTATGTTGCTAGGCAACCTAATAATCTTAATGGATAATCTGCCCACGCAACGGAAGTTTCCAATCCCTTTCATTTACTCTAATATCTATGGTACAGGGATTGGTATTGAGTA